CCCCTTTGCATAGTGCCCTGCACAGCACACTGAGCTATGCCGTTAGCCACCTGGCATTTGGAAAACGAGCTCTGCATTTTTGTAGTGGTGTCAAGGTACTCAAGCGCAACTATGACTATCTGCAATTACCTGTTCATTCATTTACTTCAATCTCATAGCAACTCAGGTTAGACTCAGCCAAATCTTGATGGCATGATACTGCAACTGCTTTCTCAGAATAGCAGTTATCTTCCTGCTCTTTTACACCTCTTTCTCTACACTCTCCTCTGAGAAGAGATAATTTCAAAGTTCATCATCCTGCTGCAACTCAAAATTCAGTGCAAAACACTACAAGGTCACTAATTGCTAGAGGGCACATGAAAAATAATACTTAATACCAATTATTTAAAGCCTGGATGTTTTAGTCTTGAAAAGGGTTTACTGTTCTCCTTTTTATGCTCCCTTAACAGCTGTAGTTCCTTAAAAAAACAAAAATGATGATTAAACATCCTAAAAGATGAATTATTGCGTTGAAACCCTCACTAAAGACCTGAAGTCCTTAAAAAAATAATAATAATGAGGAGAGAGAGAAAAGAAAAAAGAAAAAAAAAAAATCACCAGCATTCCCCATTTCAAGAGGGTTTAATTACATGTAGGACCCCTTGGTGCCTGGCCCTGTAAATACCTTGCGTGAGAACAATCATGCGCCAAGGAACTCATAGTCTACAGCACAGAGTGAGGCACAGAGCGAGAGCAGCTGCCTGAATGGCACACCTACTGCCTCCACTGCACTCTGCACACAGGCTCACCTCAGCCCACATGCCAGTACAAAGCAAAGAGAGCCTGCTTCTTCCTCTCTCTATTAAGAGCGTATTTTACTCCCTCACCAGTTATGAAGGACACTCAAATACAATAAATCTTTACAAGGCTTGGTAAATCCTCAGTTTCACATACATCACAGCTTTTTATTATTGTTGCTCCCAATTCTTCCTGCCATTCCAACATCCCACCCAGCAGCTTTGCTCTGAGCCCAGGACCTCACAACATGCACAATGAACAACAGCACACTTTGCATCATCCTAGCTTTCCACACATACACGATAAATGCCTGTTCGCAAAGCTGATCCTGACGGGTATCCCAAAAGAACAGCGCTTTCCATACACTGAATGAGCTAGGGAAGAAACCCCAAAACTTTCAGTCTAGTTGTAGGGCACACAGGATACAGGTGGTTGATGGCAGTGGGGGGGGACAAGTTTCTCAGAAGGGACCTCTCCACAGGTTACATCTACAGTTGCATCTGACGGTTCCTCCATTCACAATCACGCACGCAGCTACTGACTACTTCTGTTCGTGAGGACAACCGCACGTGTGGCACCCGGTGTTACACTGGGAGACGCATTCAGAGAGTCGGCCGCTTTGGGAACAGCCAACCTGCATCGTCAAAGCCCTCATCGCACAGGGCACGCGCCTTTGCCCTCTATCACCACGGCCACCTGCGTCGGGCGGTGGGACAGGGAGCTCTATCCTCCTCCTTGCTCGGGCTCTCGAAACCCACCGTTCTAAGGAACGCGAGCCCTCCCAGGAAGCCTGCTCTGGAAAAACCCATCCACAGCTTAGCGGTGATCCGCAGCGGTTCCCTCCGCACCCTCAGACGCCCATCACCCCGAGGCGAATCCCGCAACCCCAGCCTCACCGAAAGCACCTCCGGAGGGCAGCCGCAGGAGCACCGCCCCGCTCTCCTCGGCTCCCCGCGCTCCGCGATGGGGCGGCGGGACGGGGCGCACCGCCCGCGGAGAGGCAGCCAAAATGGCGGGGGGCGGCAGGCAGACCCCCGCCCGGGCCGGCGGGAAAGCGCCCCGAAACACCGAGAAAAAAGGCGGGGGGGGCACTTCTCTTAAGAGCACCGGCCTTCCGCGGGGGAACGACCGGAGCCGGGACGGGGCCGGGGAAGGAGCCCGGCGCGGGGCAGCGACTCACCTGAGGCGGAGGCGGCCAGCGCGGCGCCGAGCAGGCACAGCGGCAGCCAGGCGCCCATGGCCGGCCGCGAGCGAGAGCAGCGTGCTGCAGGGAGAGGAGGCGGCGCCGCGCCGGAGATAGGCGTCCCGCCGCCCCTCGGCAGGTGCCGGGGCCGCGCCTCGCTTCCAAACTTTCCCGCAGACAAAGCAGCCCCGCTCCGCGGCCCGCCCGCCTCTCCTCCCGCCCCCGGCGGCGAGCGGCGCGGGGCGAGCAGGCACGAGCGCCCAAGAACGGGGCTGAGCGTCGGCGCCGCCTCCGCCCCCGGCCCTGCGGGTGCCCAGCTGTGCCTCTCTGGGACGGCGCGCGAGGAGCGAGCCGCGAGGCCGCGCGTGGAGGCACGGGAAGGGGGGAGGAGGGGGAAGGGTCGTGCGGCCGTCGGAACGCGGCTCGCGGGGCTGCGGGGCGGCTGGTGCGGACTGCTGGGCACGGTAGGAAGCTGACGGGCGGCGGCAGCTGCGTGCCGCAAGGGAGCGCTTCCCTCCCCGCCTTCAAAGCGCCCAGCTCAGAACTCGGCGTGCTTTGCTCTTCCCCTGGCAATTCTTCGAGGAAGAAATAACCAACGGGCAGGAAGAACAAACCGAGCGCCCAGAACTTGACAAAAGCTAACGAGGTGGCCCAGATCAGATTTTCTTTTTTAGGCACTTCCCCGGCTCCTGCCCCGGCGCTGCGAGCTGCTCCGCTCTCCCGCGCCACGCGCTCAGCAGGAGAGCTGCTGCACTATGAGAATGGGGCTCCCTTAGGGCAGGGATAGAAACCTCTGAAAGCAAAAAGCAAATAAATTGACCCTACTTTTTTTAGCCTGTGAGCAAAGTCATCTTCGGTTCCTTTCAGTGCACCTACTTCATAGCAATATCCCAATTATGAGGGAGCAGATCCCTCACTTGCACAGTGCCGGACCACTGATGTGTTCTGGTTTGTTTAACCCTCCTGTTCGCTTCCAACACAGCTGGTCTGATTAAATGCAGCTATGCCAGCTAATTTACTAGCACTCCCTCATGGTAACTCAATCTGCTCAATTCTGATCACCTGCTAATGAATACCACTGTTTTGAACTCTGAGGTCATTTTTTTAGAACCTCATGCCATTAATTACTGTAACAACTCCAGCAACAAATATGAGAAATAAGATGTACAGCATGGCACTGATCCGAGTTCAAAACAGTAATGTACACTATGAACTTGTGGCTGCTATACCAGTATTACTCATTAGCTGCTAGCAGGAACTACTTGCACAAAAAGGAGGAGCAGAGAGACATCTAACCACCAGCACACATATAAGCACTCCCCAAGCAAATATTTCATGTTAATTCAGAATACTGTAGAAACGACTAAGGAAGCAAACACATGGGCCTTAATTCCCTCTTAGTTAATCAAATAAAAATCAGGACAGCTTAACTGAACTCGAAGGAGCATGAGGCAGGCAAAGCAGGTGGAAATAGTTAAGGAGAGCCAGGCATTCAGTGTCCATTAACTTTATAGCTGTGCAAAGCCCTGGAGGTTCCTACCATGTAGAGGCACTTCTGTACCAGGTGCACATTTAACAATCAAACATTGATTGGAACATTTCTGGCTGCTTGCTGTGCTCGTTTTCTGTTAACCAGTGGTATAAACAAGGCAACCAAACACTGTCAATATTTTGTCATATAACCACCTTCACAAAACGCACAGCATCTTTCAAATTACTGCTGCAGAGCAGTCTGCCTGTTAGCTTTGAATCATACAAAGCTAAGCAGAAAAACGGCCTCTGACATACTTAAGTATTTCAGTCAGTGCAGGAGAAAAGCTCCAAGACAACACAGTCTAGCAAAACAAGGTGTTTTGACAGACTTAACTCCAAAAAAACAGTTGAAAACAAGACATTCTGTCATCTGCTCATGCTCTTGGTGAGATTTTGATTCAAACCAATGATCAAAATTAGCCAAGTGAATCCTTTCTTTGTACATGACACAGAAGAAATGGACAGGAAAAAAGAATGTAATTACTAAGGAATGCCAACAGTATTTGGAAAGTCAATCTGTTAATCTTTTGCTTTGCATGTATTTTTCATTGCTGTGCTCAACTGCATGCTAATGTTCTGTTCTGATGTGTCCAGGAGGAAGAGAGGGAGAATTGGCACATAGAACAAGTTGCTTAACCTATACATTCTTTGATTATTTCATGTTTCTGTCCATCTTTCCTGTACAATTCTGTGTCCTTTTACAACCTCCCCCTTTTCAGCTGCAGCCTCCTCTTCTCTATTTCTTCTGCCTTCCTGTCTACTGTTCTCATTTTGGTTCTCCTTCCCTCTTCCTTCTTCCCCATCTCCAGAGTGCTGACCTGCTGACCCATTCCCATGCCACTACCTTGTTTTTGTCATCTCTCCATCTTTCTTCCAAGACACCCTACAAGGCAACTCACAGTTGCTGACTCACCTGTGAAGCAACCAGTTTTTGCTCCTTTGGCAGAAAATGCTGTTTTCCATGCCTAAACTTCACTAAAAAAAAAAAAAAAAAAAAAAAAAATAAAGACAAGCTGAGGAAGTCAGATTTACTATCCTTCCTTGTACTTTGTGTTATTAGCCATATCTATCCTTACAGTAAGGTCTCTCTGCTATCAGGACAACCCCTTCTCTAATACTTTATACTCCAGTTCTTACCTATGCCTACACTCTCCAGCTCTCCTATTCTGACTCATTTTACTCCCTTCTACATCCTGGGCCCTCTACTACACTATAACCCTTAATATTTAAAAAAAAAAAAAAAACCAAGGGGTTTGAAAAGGAAATACAAAATTCAAGGCCAGAGGCAGCTCCTTAAGGTGTTCATGACCAGTCTGCAAACAAAAGCAGCTGAAGACCCAAGCTGAGCAAAAGAAAAAATGTGCTTCTTGAAGGAGTCAATTTCTACACCCCATGCAACATAGAGGAAGAGTAAAGATTTAAGTCAGTTTCTTTCCATCTCACATAGAACGAAGAAAAGCACTTCTTTGTTGTTGTTAGAATCCATACCATTCTGGTATCAGCAGACTCGAGTGTGTGGACTTTTAATAACATCAAGAGAGAATGTATTTCACCATTCAACTGTCAAGGCAGATAGCATTACAGGTTTTAACTCACTCAAGATTACCATAAGAGTAGCTTACACTAACATTATTCCAAAGAAGCTGTTCAAGTCAGTCAAAGAATTCAAGACAATTTCAAATATGTAGTGATTCTAGAGGAGACTGCTCTTCATTAGGATCCTGGAAAACAAAGATATTTAAAAGAAAAATATTCCAAGTTTTGCACCAAGGCCTCATAAATTGTATGTTTTGTATAGTCTTCTCTTTCACATCTGCATTTTTTTAACCCCTAATTCAACAGAAATCCAACTTTCCCATTTCAAGTCTATTTACCAGTTAACAGCAATGTAAATAACAGAACTAGACTATCTAGAGAAACTGAATTTTAGTAAGACTGTAAGTACACATCTTGCAAAGCAGTAACCCAACTGTCATCTGGAGCCACATATCTCAGAAACAGGAGCAGAAAAATCCATGGAGATTTTAATAATGTGTGGTTGTTTTTTTTTTGTTGTTGTTTTGTTTTGTTTTTTTAAGCATACTTCAAATCAGATCTCTAATCTGAGGCCAGTTCTCTATGCATTTGTCTTTAGGCACCATTTTTCAATTCGGCATGCAAAACACTAGTTTGTATCAGATAAGTCATGACTTACGTCCTTACGTCCATTGAAAACTGAGCACATGGTGGCACATACACACAGAACAGCTTAAGAGGCTGAAGAGTCTTCTCAGGCTTGTTGGATTTCTTTGAGTTTAGCCCACATGGCCCAGACTTGGAAATCTGCGAGTTACACCTTCCAAAGATGACTGCAACCTCCACCTAGGAACTTGCTAAATTAACAGAAGTCTCCTATGAAGCCAGTTGCTTTTTGGAATAACTCAAAAAGCAGCATATAGACAACTATGAAACAGATTTTTCTGTTTTGCCACACCTGATTTTTAATTTGGAGGAGAGGAGGAGGAAGAGGCAACTTAGGTCTAATTCTGCTCTATCTTCTCTGAAGATAATTTGACCTGATAAAGTCACAAAGCAGTAAAATAAATTGACCTTATTCAGACAAGAACAGTCTCTCTACTGCGCTTGTACAAATCAGAGGTTTTAGTGTCTCTGGGTGAAAAAAAATAAATTCCATAGAGAAAATTGAAGAGCAAGAAACCAACGGCTACAGATACAAACAATCCACAATGAAATTGCACTGTACCTCCTTCCCTTCCCTGGAGTGAAAAAAGCACACATCCAATGCAACTCTTCTAACAAATATTAAATGGCAGAAACAATTCATCTTTGATAACAGTGCTGTGCTGAATTCCAAGCAGCAGCTCTGTCAAAATTCAACAAAAATCTCTACCAGTGGATATTTTTCTTGGCATACAACAGTAATGCACCAGAGGCTGTAACTGTGCCCTAAGTAAATCACAGTTCTCACATGAAAAACAGAGATGGTATTAAGTGGCACAAGGTTTCTTTTGGAAGAGGACTTACCTTCATTCCCTAACATGTTGAGACACTCCATTGACAAGAAGCTTGGCTTGACTTTAATGTGTTCTTAAAAGGATTCCTTCTAACCTAAGTTATAGATGAAGCACTGAATAGGTTTTATCTGACCAAGGGAAAAAAATAAAGCTTCCTTTCATAATATTCTGATACTGTGATAAAACTTGCTCTCACACAGCACAAAGCCTGATACAACCTACCCATCTTTGACTACTACGTGTTGCATTTCAGTCTTGTCAAATAAATAAAGCAATTTTGCTCATCTAAGTACGTATATTTGGAGAGGACAGAAGTATTTTTATCATGTTGACTAAGTCTGTGGCCCAACAGACTGGGATACAAAACCTGTCCTTGATTTCAGTTTTAAGTTTTCCAAATTCTGTAGCCTTTCCAATACCCTTTCACATAGGCTTTTGAAAGGAAATGACAGTTAGAATGCCATTCTAATAAGCTTTAAGAACATTCTTCATTCCAGGGTCTGGAATTTCAGCATAGTATGTGTATTATTACTTTACAGTATCCAATATCTATAAAATCCAAGACTACAAACCACCACTGGAACAAAGGAAATGCAATCTTTTCTCAATGTCACTGCACACAGACAAGGAATAATGAGAGATTACTTTCGTACACTATGCATAGTAGAGAAAGTTTGTTAACGAAAGTCTTCAAAATACATTGAGGTTATGCTTTAAGGTAATACACATCTCAAGCCACTATAATTCAATGCTGAATTATTTTGAAAAAGAGATATTTGAGAAATATTTCTCCTGAAAAATGAAAAACTTGAGCTTTTGTTGCCTCCTCGTCAATGCACAATCCTGTCAGAAAACTCCACGAAAAGGAGGAAAAGCATTTCCCAAACTGAGTACTCATCAAAATGTCCTCACTTCTCTTTATAAGTGTGCCTCCATTTCAGCTAGGGATAGCCTGCACAGATGTGTGATACACATGTTGAACAGCACACACACACCTGGACTTCAGCTTCAATGAAGCATCTGATTGCCTACTCTCATTCAGAACAGCTCTCCAGCACAATTGCAGTCAGTCCTGCAGCACCGGGCTAGCAAAGCACATAGACCATCAAACAATGCAGTGGAAACCATTCTAGCATGCATTTTCCAGAAGCCTTAGAAGTAATTGTCTTTCTACTACACAGAACTCGTATGTACTTTGAGCCAGCTAGAAATCCGTTCTTGTTCCAGTCCCCGAAATCCAATAAACCCTGAAAGGAAAGAATAAATACGCCTGGAAAATCCCCGTGAAAGACAATGTGCTTGCAAAGGCTCAGAACCCCTGAAGTAAGGTTTTTCCACAGGGCACCTCTGGTGTAAAGTCACCACCCACCTTGTTAGAATGCCATCTTTTCTGAAGGCTAACTGCAGGTCCCTTCCAGTTTTGTTCTTCTCATAACCAAACTTTCCAACTACTGTTGGAAAACAATATTTTACTGGCCTCCTACAAATAAGCATATTAAAAGAAACTGAAATACTATTTGCCTTACTGCTCCTTTATTTCCATTCCAGTTATTTATCCTATCGTCTTGCTGCACTGTAATCACAGGACTCCTCCTGCTGGAAAGACAGATGAAACTTTCAAGAAAGAACATACCTGTTAACCACTACCCTTTCTATTGGAAAAAAAAAAAAAAGTACATTTCAGGGGTTGAATTTTTTGTTAAGCTTTCTTTAGCTAGGGAAACAATCATTCTAATGTTTCTCCACATTAACAATACCCACAAACACTATTCACACTGCAGTTTTAATGAAAAACTTCAGCACAGGTACATAATATAAAGATACCAACCTCAAAGGAGCTCAGCTGTAAAGAGTCCTGCTTCCACAGAGGGTCACACCAAGCAAACTTTCCCACTGCCACAGCCCTCACATATATCTGCCTTGGTCACACGAGTGACAAGGCATTGCACAATTACCACTTGCAGTAACTCACCTTAATTCAGAATTTCCCTCTTCCCAGCAATTTTGGAAGAATGCGTTTTTACCCTTGTTTTGCAAGTACTCTTGGAGCTATAGAAATCTTCACCTCATGTTTGACTTCAAACCGTACAGTTTCTTGATTACTTCTACACTTTTCACAGGCTGTTCTAGCAGAAAGCCTGATCTTTGTTCTCAAAACCCTCCCCAGTGAGTACCTGCTTCTGCTATGTGGTAGAGCACTCCCCACTGTGTCTGTATGCAACCATAGAACAAGCAACCAGTATTGAAAGCCACCGATCAAAGGCAGTACCAAGCCTTAGATGTTGATGAGCATACCTAAAAATCAACTCTGTTGTTAGTCAAGGACTTCATTAATGACAGAATTTCCTCGACCTTTTTACTGTTTCTATGCATGTCATGTTAAAATAAAGCCTACCTCAGCATTTAGAAAGTCTTTACTCCTTGCAGGCACAATTAGATGTTTGCACAAGACTTCACCAGTGACATCATCTGGCTAAGCAGCATGCTGTTTCCAGATCTTTCCAAGCAGTGTTGTAGGCTTCATATTAAGTGCTCGGTGTGATATCTATACAAGCCTACCTATAAGAGCAGATACAGATATACATGAAGTATAACTTGGCAGCTCCTATTCTGGGAAAATTAGCAAGAAAGTCAAGTTCTGGATGCACACAAGGCTGACATTTCGGACATTTCTGCTATTACAGTACAACAGAACAGCAACTGTGAGACTAGTGTTACTTCCAACAGTGAGCAGCCTGGAAAAATTCCCAGTGAGTATGGAGCAGCTAGCCTTCCTTGCATCAGGTTTAACACTGTATTTGCAATATCCCTACCCTACTGTAACTTCACCTCCATTCCATAGTTTACAGCAACAGCTCTGTGAACTCAGTTTGACCTACACAGATTGAAACTTTCTGGAGTGCAACTAATTCCCATACAAGTCCAGGTTTATGCTGTGAATCCTTCATTCCCCACAACTGCATGCATGTTTCCATCGTAATTTCTTCCATGTTTGGGCACATACTTCTGTAAGTATCAACTGTGAATTTCAGTTCTTTGCCTGCTTCTCCGTCATTAAAGTAACAGCAGCCTCACATACAGTAATTTAAAAAGCAATTGTACATCATTTGCATTACTAAGTGTATTGCAACACTCACTTCTACAGGGAACATTTTTCAATACTCAAACAGTGCCTATTCCAAGTGCCATATATCACATCCTGGTTTCTTATACTCATAGCACACTTGTGGAAGCAAAGAGAGAATGATCTTCAATTTAGTAACCTAATTCTTCCTCAATACATATTTTTGGCTGGAATGCAGTTGCCAACCAAATTCAGCAGAACTTGGATTACGCTAAGCAAAGTTGGACAGGATAGATTGAAGAACAGAAAACACTTTGGGAGAAGAATTGGATACTCTGGTGAGCATTGTTCACTTGAGCTGTGTAATCAAAGATCTCCTTGTCCTTCTATCCACTTTCCCAGGCATCTCTACTTCTTGCTGATGGCAATACATGCACAGCAAAGTATGGTTTGTTAACAGAAAATACCATGTAGAGACTTGTCAACTGCTCTACAGCAACCAAAAGTAGCTGCTCTCAAGTTTAACTTCGTATTAAGAGTTTACTTGGAGTACCCTTCATTAAAAACTTACTTAAAATATGTTTGTACTTACTGCAAGCAACATCACACAAAAACAGTGCAGGCAGGTTATTGCCTTGTAACACATCATCTTTTGCTTTGCCATGCATTTCTGTAGGCTAGGACTGCATTAATGCAGTTTTGCTTTTGATAGAAGATCTGTGCTCTGCTTACCTACCAAAGGAGGTATTAAGCATTCATCAACAGAAGATCTCGTAAAAGGTTGCCTCTTATCTTACTTGACTTCCAATAACTTAACATTCAGGGCAGATAAACAGTTTCATGTAATGCTCTAACTGATCAGAAACCACTAAGGCACTACAAAAACAAACTGAGCAAATAGTACACTAGTATTCATTTCCAGAAGCAAGAAATGCCATCTTAGTTATGCTTACTTTAGCAATTAAATGGATTTCTAAGGCATACTGGCACAAGAAACAAATGTACAACAATTCCCAGTCCGCATGTTTTTAGACTAAGCTTGTTAAATGGGAATAACCACATGTTGTCTTTCTTCTTTTCATCTCTCTTCCAGTCCAATAAAGTATTTCAGGATAAAATCACAATATTACATAATATTTGCATAATGCCATTTCAGTATTATACTAACTAGGGACATTGTTACTACCTCAGTTAGTAACATTACAACATGCAAAGGTTATACCTGAATAAATGCAGCTTAAAGTTAGATGAGTTCATTAGCTTTTTTTGTTCACCTGACCTCTAGAGATTCACATTTTTAGTACTGCCATAGCATTCAAGTTTTTAAGTATGCCTTTTTACAGGAATACACAAATTCCCTAGTTTTAATTCTCTTAAAGTACCCTCAGCAGTCAAAGGCTGAGATAAGTTCACCTGTATATTTATGCTTGAATACCACTTAAAAAAGAAACAATCATCCATCTTCTAAACCACACATCTAGACCCTATAAAATGTCCTTTTTTCCCCCCCCTAAAATTCAAAGTGTTAATCAGTTGTTCATGATCCATTTGAGATGCACTGAAGCTTAAGAGAGACATCCTCAAAACAAAGCACACCTCCCATGCTTTGCTCTTCCCTGCTCATACAAGCATGTACTCTCAACACAACCTCCAAATGAAAAAAGGTTACAGTATAAATGATGTTGCTGTACACTACGCTATACTTTAGCTAATGAAGACAGATATAGTGCAGGCAAGGAGCTTGCAGAACATGATCCAAGAAAAGCTTGGCAGAGGTCAGCCTTCTGTTGCAGAATAAGTTGCTCTTCCACTCTACACTGGCATAAGCTAGACTTAGCCACACACAGACACCAGTGATAAGCACAGCAGCTATTTAAAGCATAGCGTAGAGAGAAGAAAATTCCTTAAACCTTTAAAAAAAAAAAAACCTTAAACACTTGGAAAAAAAAAAAAAAAAAAAAAACTATCTGCCCTCCTCTTCAGAAATTTGTCTTTTCTGTCTCAGTTGATCAGAAATACACACGTTTCTGCAGGGGCAAGTAAGCATCTCCCCATACAACATGTCATTTCTTGATAAGTTGAATCAGATCAAGCTAGATGTATAGGTCAGGTAACATTACTGAATACATTCAACACAACATTCTTGCTAGTCGCACCAACTCTTCACTTCCATAACCAACACTGGTTGAACTTCATTTTTTTCCTACAAGTTGTAGGAGCAGAGCCCACAGCCAAAAAAAAAAAAAAGTTATAAGGCTGAATGTATGCATAAGTCAGCTGAAGTCAGGATGAAACCTTCCTTTACCCTTAAGACAATTTTCTGGTTAAACTGCGTAAAGCACTCCACTTATTTAAAAACACAGCAGTGTGGCCTAAGAGCAATGCATCAAGCATCCTCCCTGACAGCAGCAAAATGCTTCAGATGGGGATGCAACAATTTCAAAGCAGACATGTGTAACCCCACTAAAAAAAAAGAGACAAGCCACATCCTTATCTCCAATAAAAAGAATTAGTTAAAACCCCCAAAACAAGCAAACCTATAAAGTTCAGATAACCTTATCTGCTTTCACATAGTTGATCCTTCTTGGACTCGTATTAATTGTTTTGGATGCATTTCTACTAGCACATGCCTAAGAAGAAAGAATGAAAAAACCATAGAGAAACACTTTCTCTAAGAAAGAGTGGGAACAAGAATGCCACCTGCTGGAAACAACGTGAAGCAAGCTTGGAAACATTCCACAGTGAGGTGGAAAAACACGCGCTTTTAGTCTGCTCTAGTCTTCAGTTCATATTTAAGAACGCTGGGGAAAAAAAAAAAAAGTAGATACAATAACAAGTCAAAGTAACTGCCACACTGTAGTTAAAGTCAGCACAACAGCAGGATCATGCTAGGAGCATAATGATTACTACCTGTTGCAAAAAAAAAAAAAAGTTTCGGTTTTACCATACCAACTAGATCCAAAGAACATCAAGTTAACTATATTTGAAGGCTCAACTTCGCAACATTTAAGAGCTCAATTCTCATCAAGAGGATGATTAATTAGTCGGCAACCTAGCACATCAGACTGTGCTATTCCTAACAAAGTTCTGTTTCAGTTACGAAGTCTTAGCTTTCAAGATTTTCCACCAAATCTAAGTGGTATTCACAGATATTAAGAGTCAGAGGAACAAGTTAAGCTAGTGAATAACCAAAAGGGACTCCACAGCCTTTCTCCCCCAGTTCTGCAAACAATGGCAGCATGGGGAGCTTCTACCTACAGGGGCCACTGCACCTCCACAATAGCTAACCAAGCACACAGCCCTCACCTCTTAATGATTCACTGCTCCTCTCACATGCTTTCCATCCCCATACAGAAACACCATAAATCCTCATAAAGCATCAGTCAGCATTTTTAGGTAAAGTCTCAACATGAAGCATAGCACACAAGTATTCTTATGAGTTACCTGTACCAAAGGATCTATTATTGTTGTGAAGCCTTCTCAACTTCAAGCCCATTCACTTACCCCAAGCAGTTATCTGCAAGGGCTGTCAAAAGAACTTTTATATCTTCATGGCAGACAACAAATTGATACATAACTTTTGGATCTTCACTCAGGTTTCACCCGAAAGTAGTTTAATATATGACAGTTAGAGAAAGGTCAGGCTGGGTTTTAGGAAAAGGTTCTTCACCAGAGGTGGTCAGACACTAGATGAGGCTCCCTAGGGCAGTGGTTACAGCACCAAGCTGCTAGAGTTCAAAGAGCATTTGAACATCGCTCTAAAAATAAGGTTTCACTTTTAGGTGCTCCTGGGTAAAGCCAGGAGGTGGATGCTATGATCCTTGTGAATCCCTTCCAACTCAGGATAGTCTATGATTCCAGGATCCTAGGATCTAGGATTCTAGATGCAGTATCTCTTCCCTGCATATTACAAGCACTAACTGGATTCCTTCAGAGGCATAATCAGTTACACATGGATTAAATGTTACTCAAAATGTTGCACAATCACTCTTCTCACATAAGATATCCCACTTTTTTCTGCGTGAAAACAAAAAAAGATATCAACTACTACAGTATGTCACAAAGACTATCCTGCATTCAGAAGCAGGAGGTAGCTTCAGCGTGCCTAGTGAAGCAGCAATTCTCTGCATATCACTTCAGTATCTATATTTCATGAAAACAAAGTTGGATACCACAAGCACCAAGAAGATGCAACTCCCACCAACCTAAGAGCAAATTCATCCCTGATTCCACAGAAAACAGGACAGTAAATTAAAACCTAGCTTCCTTCTCCTCGCAAGTTATACAGCAGCTTCCCACAAGGAACTGCATTAGTTTCTCTGTGTGGGACTGAGCCTGAAGTACAGAAGTATTGAACATTCCGCAATTTCCACAAAGTAGAAAACCCAGCACTATGGATACAATGTGTGCTGGTCTTTCAGCTCTAACTGTGGCAATTGGATGGTGATAACTCAGAGTTTGCAGAACAAAAATCAGACTAAGAATAATCACATGCAAAGAAAACACTAGATGCAAATTAGGAAGCTTGCAGTTACCAACAGAAAAAGCCTAAGAGCCTAAGACATCTTCAGTTTTGACAACAAACTCCTGTTTCTGACAATTTCTTGTCACACAGATTTTTAAAAATCAGAGTCACAGATTTATTTTTTTTTTCTTTTCACATAATATGATTTGAACAACACCATCTGGTTTTCAAACTTGATCAGACGCACAAGGAAAGGCATCAGGTACTAACAGACTCTTGGACAGGTTTTTCTTCATCTTCTGCAGTTTCTTCTTCTTTTTCTTCTACTTTCTCTGCTTCAGGGAGAAGTCCATCAAGGTTCAATAGTAAACCCTCACTGGTTGAAGATCTAATAACCAGCTTCTTCACAAAGGGACCTAAGAAAACAAAGAACACCAGTTACTCCACCAATGTTCATGTCTCCCTACTGATTTATCTTAATACTAATCCAGATTCTGTCAGTGTATGACCTGAAGCAGAACCGTACAAGAAGATCAAAATACTGAGATAAAATAAGTGTTGGTAGATAAATTAACAACACATTCTTCCCACATAAAGCAAACATAACATTCTCTATGGTAAACCCCATATTTTCATTCTGTCATTACCATCCCTACACAGCTTGGCTTCCAAGTGTTTACAACTCCTTACTTACAACAATGAAGCCCTCTTCCTAACAATCTAATTCTAGCCAAAATGATCACATGGGCACAAATGTAGGCTCCAAAACACATTACAATTGGTTTTCCTCTATTTGCAGCTTCATGAAAATTAACTAGGCACTTGCTGATCACAGAAATACTCATACATGACAGAGGGAATAAAAGAAACCTATACTATTTCAGGATCCTACCACCAAACATTGAATGAGTCCTTTGACAAGAACAACCACAGAAATAGTCCAGTTTCTTAGTGGAAGTGCATCTACATATACTCCAAGAACATATGCTTGGTAGCATTTTGAGCCTTCCAATAGATTAAGTGATTTGCAGAGGAATGCTGTTTTAGTGCTAACTGCACAGCTGCATGAAAACATGCACGTATGGATCATCTGAAAGAATCAGAACCTGGTAGCTAAGTGATTGATAGTTAGCAAGCCTACATAGATTCCACTGTTGTAAAGATACTTTAAGGAACATGCCTGCATCCTACACACTGCAAATATTTTTTAAACCAGTAAGGACAATCAAACAAAGGCCCACACCATAAGCCAGATACCACAAAGGAGGCAAAACACTATGAAAATAGCTCACCCTTAGTTAACTAAGTTGGTGTAGTTCATGAATAAACCCCATTAATTGAAAGTGCAGCATGCCTTCAGGCAGGTAGCTAGCATCAGGGTAATGTCAACTGAAGCACCTCTTTAGTAACTGAACGTGGATTCTGAGATTCTGAGTTCAAATTCTTTGTGCTGAGCTCCAGAAAGGTCATGCCAGTGGGCAAAACCAATCCACACAGACTCTGAGGCCTTTATGACTTAAGCAGATTCACTGTATGGCTATAAGCTATTTAAAAATCAACCTTACAAACTTAGTTTTGTGCATCATCACACAGTTCTGTAGCACAATAAGAGCTGACATCATAAGTGCACACGCTATCAATGCCCTCAGGGGCTGTCCAATTCATAAGTTATGATTCACTGAGTTACCCAATAGCTCCCTTCTCCCATCTGAAACAGACAAAGCAGTGAGGTCATTAATTATTTCCTGATTAACATTTGCTTCTTCATTTTGATTCAACAGCTTCAACTAATAGATCAAAAGAATAGCTGCTTACCAGCACTTGATGGTTTGAACTTGCAGATATCCTCAATAATTGTTTTCAAATTGGCAACGATCTGCTCAGTAGGCATATCCAGCTGAAAAACAATAATGCAGAATTGACCATGATGCTCTCAAAGCCTACACAGATATATCTGAAGGTGCTGGATATATATATAATTTCTGTATTTGGATAAATATATATTTTTTTCCACTGGGAACATCAAGCTATTTCCCTAGGATATCAAGCTAATTGGGTCCAGAGGAGGGCCAAAGATGATCAGAGGGCTGGAGCACCTCCCCTATGAAGACAGGCTGAGGAAGCTGAGGCTCTTCAGCCTGGGGAAGAAAATGCTCCATGGGAACCTTCCAGCAGCCTTCCAGTACCTGAAGGGGGTCCTGGAGAGGGGCTTTTTTTTTTTTTTTTTCTTTTTTAAATGTATGAAGCAGCAGGATGAGGGAATATGGTTTTAAACTAGAAGAGGTAGAGTTAAGCTAGATATTAGGATGATGATTTTTACTGTAAGAGCTGAGAGACACTGGAATAGGTTTCCCACTGAGACTGTGGATGCCTCCTTACTGGAGGCATTCAAGGCCAGGCTGGATGGGGCTGTGAGCAACCTGGTCTATGGGAGGTTTCCCTGCGTATAGCAGGGGGTTGGAAGTAGATAATCTTCAACATCCCTTCCAACCCAAACCATTCTGTGACTCTGTATTCCTGTTAAAGAGCTAGACATCCCATTAACAGCCTTATCAAACTGTCTCAGAAGTATTTTATAAGGTTGTATGCTCTTCATTATTTCCCATCTTTCTATATGTGACATTCAAGAACAACACTTCCACTGCTCCATACACATGTAGCCTTACAAATGTTCTAAAAACAACACACATAAGCACTTGTTCAAAATCACAAGGAAATTCGATATTTGAAGAAGTAACTATCAAGAAATAGAAGTCAAAATACAAAACAGATCAGCTCCAAAAAAAAAAAAAACCAAAAACCAAAACAAAAGCTCTTTAAATTGAAGGCATTAAGATACACAACTGAAAGAACACAGAAGAACACAAAAGACATCTTCAACAACAACACAAAAACTTGGAGCTCTGCTTCATTTTTACTTTCCCATTTCAACATACTACAACTTGCAGCATGTGTATTGAGCACAAAGCACAGACTAGTTTCCAACTACCCTTTTTATACACTTCAGTTTCCATCTGTAGCTTTTTTGATCTTCCAACCGAAACCATGGACTGATGGCTCCTCATTCTGCACAGTATCCTTAAGTAACAAAGGACTTACACAGTGCTTCAGCTACATAAGCAGACCTCACTGGATTGATCGTAAGTACTTAGGAGTGAACCAGCCTCACTGCCAAAAAAGTATTGTTTCCTCAGATATTGAGCACCTCAAACCACAATTTCTATTTATCTCTATGGACACTCCTTAACAATGAGCAACTTACAAGGAAGAGACAAACCCAAACATCCTGGTTTCGATTAAATCCAGGGCCACAGCTCTTGGAAAGCTGAATACACATTTCCCAGACTTAATCTTCTGGAAGCATAATAACCTGCATTGTCATTTAGTCTGCCCCCTGGTTTCACCATACAATCCAGAAATCTTCTCTTGTATGAACGTCAGTATTTTTTTCATAGAAATTTCAGAAATTTAAGATAAAATAGCATTTTTCTTACAGAATTAACTCCACTTCAGTGGACTGTACAGTAGTCACTGGGGTCCCATCTTTCTGTCCAACTCCTCTCCCAGTGCAGCATAAGCAGACTTCATTAACATCTCACTTATCCATAAACCTATTCATTGCAATAGAAATGCTGTTAAGCTTCAGTAGTCTCCTCCCAGATTTGGTCCATTGATCTCCTTCTATGCACTTCTGGCAATCTTCTAATCCAAACACCATTCCTCTGCTACACAGACCAGCAGTCATTCATTTTTATTACTGCTATGCTGATTGCAAAGCATGATGATAAACCTGTCATAAATTAACAGATGTAGAAATTTGTTTGCTAATGCTGAGCATTTCAATTCACTGACAGACTGATCACGCTTTATGGAATTAAAAATAAAAGAATGCTTGGAACAATCTAAACAATTTAACACTAATAGCTGATTAGAAACTATACTTCAAATTTAGACTGGAATATTATTTGCTTCCATATCTTGCACTGTATTCATGTCTCAAGTAAGCCTTCACTTGTACAGCTTGATAAACGTTAAGTTACTTATCTGTAACCAAGTCTAGAACTCAAAAGAAACAGTTTTTTCAAGTTTCTCTAAGCAATACGCTGCAATTCCTTCTAAGAACTTAAGACTACAACACGTTATGAGAGAAGGCAATTACCTCAAAACAGAGATATCTGCTAACATCCCATATTTGATACTATTAGAAAATAGGGCAAAGCAAGTTACATTCCATCGGATAACACGACACATCCCAACAGCTTGTGTGCCATAATTTTCTTGAGATGTCAATGGCACCATAATGAAGACATGTAATTCCCAAAGGGTTCTGAATATTTCTAAGTAGTTTCCACATCCACACAGTAAGTATCTCACAGTAACTCACGGTGCGTGCACAGTCACTGTGTTTCAGCACTTAAATATTTAGGTTAATTTTAAACTTACTAAGCTGACAAAAGCACTCCAGACCAGACCTAAAGCTGTGCAAGCCGCATAGCAAATTGATTCAGTAGGAATTGGTCAGTATCTTTAGGTCTTGAGTCACACTGGCAAATAAGAAAGTTTACAAAAGGAACAACTATTAATTTAATTCTAGTCCATTTTGTGTAAAACAACCACAAAGTAGCTTAGAAAACCGACAGTATGTACTACAACTGGAACACAAAACTGAAGTTCTTCCCAGCTTACTCTTTCAAGTTTAGGACATCACTCTCTAGAGTAGCATTAGGTGCTGTAAGGAGGGTCAGGAAAGTTCATGCTTCCTTATTTGTACGAAACATGCTTCTTCAAAAGGGTCTCTCACTACCTTTGCTGAGGCTTCATAAACAGTTTTAAACATCACCTTTTCAGGAATCTTTAGAGGTAGGCAACTGAATACACAAAAAAGGCACTTGCCTACTTGCTGGCTACATCTGCAAATGAAGAACTAGAAGATGCCCTACTATTAAAACAATAAATTGAGCTTTTTCTGAACTGCACACAGGGAGTTGTGTCAGGAGATCCGTCATGGCAGTGCATCTGCACTAGTGATATAGCTACTGTGTGTTACATGTAACACACACAGAGGAAAGGTCAGCCATGGCAGGGCAGGAAAACCTGGAGAAGGCAGTGTGAGAGCCTCTTCTTCTCCCTCCTCTGCACATCTACCAGTCACTTTCAGTTCGGACAACAGTAATTTCACATCACATTCAAGAAATATAAAGGAGCTATAAAGCTTGAGCCTCCGTCTTAGTCTCGCACTGTCCCCCTTCCACCATATAAAGAATATATGCAGTAACATAATATCCCTAAAATACTGCCATCCCAAGAGCCTTATACAGCGAGGCACATCAGTCCCCCCTCCACTCCCAGAACCAATTACGCACTTGCAAGGAAGCCAGAACACGCATTAGCACTGATCCACCAACACATTTTTCAGCCTCTTCCTTCACTTCCTCAGCCTCTTTCCCACCTCAAGCCAGCCATAGGACTGAGGCTCCTACATTAAATGCTGCAACAATTCAGAAATTACAGCTTCAGCACCTGCACTCAGAACTCAAGTCCCACTTACTAAAAAAGTCTTACAGGACAATGCAGTCAGTAATTATCTGTTTCAAAACTGGAACTGGAATTTTTATGGCTTTATCTCATGGCAATTAAGAGACCTGGGCTGGCTAGTAGTCATTTAACCAGAAAGCTGAATCAGTTCTCAAAGCACTTGAACTGAGCTTAAAGCTGCAGTACCTGAGGGGAAATTAAAAAAAAAAAGTATCCCCAAATCCCCTAATACAACCCTTCTAAAAGAACTAACAAGAACAAAAAACACATCAAGAGCAGCATTTCAAGTCTGCCTTCTTCACCTGCAAGACGCAGAATTCCAATCCCCTTTAAGTAAAAATTTATTGCAATCCACTGCAAAACAAGAAATAAGCTCACAGAGAAACATGAGTTCATAGTTCTGTGTTCCCTTTGTCTCCTAGTGCTAATAAGAAATGAACAGCAATGCATTTCACCTTTCAGTTCATATGAATGCTGAGACATTTCAGGAGCACAGTAAGGTGTCAAGTAACTAACAAGGGTACTGTGACTGGCATCCTGTAATAATACATGATCTCTGCACTATTCGAGTAAAACCACTTTTTCTCCTATTCCAAGAGAAACACTTGGCTTGGCTGAACTCCAGGAACTGGTCCTCAGAGGCTTCTATAGAAAAATGTTAATAAAACCTCTTTAATACAGGTTTAGAGCTACTCCTAACAAATTTCATTTTGAGTTGGACCAGCATAACAAAACAACTGCATTTCATCATTATTCAGAGTCGAATGTCTTTCATTACACAGAGAGGGCAGAAACCAGAGCTTCTCTTCTTTTGAGAACAGAAGAAAGCCCCCAAACCAATAGCTAAGTGCTGACACACATGGCAGATGAATGTTCCTGTGAGAACATCTGGAGGACAGCCAGCATCAGTTAGAGAAGAGCACTGACCTATTTTGTGCTGTCTTGCTTTCCACAGGCTTCTGCTCAGTTGTGAATCTTCCTGAGAAAGTCAGCAAGTAGTAGGGGAAAAAGCAAAAGAAAAGAAAAATCCCAAACCAGAACAGAGCTCTCAGTAGGAATCTAAACTAACACAGACCCTGTAGATCCAGTCTTCTCATCCTGGCACTTAAGTGGAATGCATTTCAGAGGTAGTAGCTGTAACAGTGCTGCTTCAGAAATAATAGTAGGAAAGGCAGAAATGCAGGCTAGAACAACCTTTATTGTGGCTGCACCCTTGGTACTCACAGTTGTAAAGTACTATTCCCTAGTTCTAATTCAGCTTGCTACAATTTCTACCACACCTCCAATTCCTCGTTTTGTTCCAAATTCAAGCTGTTTGCCAGTAATTGATGACTAGGAAAACATCATTCTCAGGACTGTGGAAACCATCAGGACCTGCACAAGACTGTCAACTCTCACTAGATGGACAGACTCACAAGATAGATAACAGAAGGCTGAATGGTCCTAACACCCTGGACCTACCCAAAGCTGGATTTGCTCAGAAACAGTTCCTTCAACATCCTACCTCTAGTGCAGACTGGCATTTCTGTTCCCCATCTTAATGTAGACTTCCACTCACTTGTATATCCCACATACCAGACATCTCTGATTGTCTCATCCCTATACTTCTAACCCCACAAATAAAATAGTGCTTCTGTACAAACCATCCATTCACAAAAGGTATACAATATGCTTCCAAACACAAACAAACAAAAATTCTCACCTCTCAGAATAATCTTGCTCTGTTTCACAGAAGAACCATTCCCTAGGCAGCTCTCTGCTCAGACAAGAAAACCAACTGGAAACTTCTTTCCAGTGTCACATTGATTTGCATTCTGATTTTTCTAAGCATCTCCAACTTGGGAGAAAAGAAAATTGTAGCACTCTAAGTTCTAAAACAGTGCCAAAATCCTCAACAAAAATGACTTTAATCTGTCCTCTTCAGATAGCATGATTTTGAAGGGGATATCTTCAGCATTCTCATTTTGCCTCCCTTCTGCCTTAAGTTCCGTGTCTCAAAAGAACATTTTACATTCTCAGTTCCACAACTCCAGATCTACTAATTAAATCTAAATCTACTGCCAACTCCCAGGCTTCTCAAAGACATCTCAATTACTTACTACATAAGAAAACACCATTAAGGCTGCTGACTTATGTGGGAGTACAGCACAACTTCAAGCTATTGGCTGTAACTGAACTAACAGGCAACATAAGACAGCAGCACTAAAGGGAAAACATGTCTTTGAGAAATGCCAGCTTGGCAGAGTCCCAGAAACATCTATACTACCACCTGGAAAACAGCAATATATCTTCACGTCTCCGTGTAATTCACAAATGATTATTTTCCTCACTGGCAAGGTTTAAATGTAAAGAGCTCTAGATTTAGTAGTAAGCAGACATGCGTAACCACGCAAAGCTCCCACAGCCTTGCCTAGAGCAGATTGCCTCCCAGCGCCACTGCACAACAGCACAACTAGGTCAGGCAAAGGAGAGCAGCTACAGAGGGTGGAGACACTTGATGCAAGCTGTAGCCACAGACATACTTCTGCATACAGCTCTCTGAACACGTCACATGTGCTGTGCTGGAGTCACCTCTGCCACGTAGCTGAAAGTATCTTGCCACAGCTGAACTGTGCACAAGTAAATCCCCATCATACTGCTTCCAAACCAAGATTGAGAGCTCGTTCACAAGACCCTGCTATTTACTAATTAAAAATTAAAAAATAAAAAATGACATCTCAGGCCGCACCCAGAACCTTAACTTAAGTTGCCTTGCAGCACCAGCATCTTATATCAGTAACACAACACAGCTTAAGACTCAGACACTCTAACCATAGCAGTAAGAAGGTATGATAAGTAAAACCAACTGCAATTGCTTCAAATGCTATCAAACCATCTGAGTTCTTCAATCACTTCCATTCAATCCTGTGGGTTTTTAACCCCTTATAAGTAAATGAATAGAAAAATAAAAGAACCTTAATATGCAGATATTTTCAAGACTGATCCACAATACAAGATGAAGAAAGTTAAAGGACTAAAATTTAGTCCAAAGCAAAAACAACATGAAACATGGTCAAAATGCTAGAAACAAAGACATCCATGGATTTGTGATGTTTCACATAGTCACTTAGACTTGTAATACAGATAAAGATGCAAACTGTCTGTATGAAAATGTAATGCATCCCGTATTTTAGGAGAACCATCCTGAAAACCTCAGTTTTGAGTACTGTATATAAGAACAAGTTCTTTAAATTCACATGCACAACTCACAGGCGCTAGCCAAAATTAACAGGCTTGCTTATCTCCACCACCACCAGACAAAACTGCAGAGATTAGGAGTCTCATAAACTTCCTTTCCACACCACTATCAGTTAATGGAAAGTTAAATATAGGCAGGATTACAAACAGACATAACAGAATGGAAACAAAACAATTCAGAACAGAAAAAAGAATGCTTAAGGAAAAGGACTAAAAGCCTCCAAGAGAAGAAAAAATACTTTTCTAGAACTCAGTTTATTATGTGGCAGTAGTTAAAGCACAGATTAATTTTATGGTATTTAATGTGTGGTGCAATCAGCTTTTTTTTCTGCCCTGAACTAGAATCAAAGTTTTTAAAATGAAACTAGGTCTGAAAATTTCAAAATGAAAACAGTCCTTAATTATTATGGTTAAGTGAATACTTTCTGTTCCCCTTGGGCATACTCTACAGACTTATAACCCAAAAATCATTAACTACGTTAATAAAACTTTGTTTTCTTCACATAGAGGTGTTGGGACTGGGGAAGTATGCATTAAAAGCAGAAACACTATAGGGATTGCTAGGAATAGGGCACATTCTGTATTCGAGTTGCATCTTATTTTGTTCATTATTACAATTCACTGCCAATAGAACAGCAATCATAGATCTCATACTCAACACCCTTAACTTCTCAGCATTAGACATGTATCTCAGTCTAAGTGGAGCCATCTTCCACCACTGTACTTTAATGACATACAGTGCTCACATCAGCTCAAGACACTACACAAAACAGACTGAAGTTTCATTTACATCATGGGTCATTAAAACAATACTTAATCTGGGAATGCACAGGACAAACACTGTTTTCTTCTCTGTTTCAGTACTAACTTCAGCTCTACTCAGCAGGACAGTCAAGAACTCTCCATTACCACTTACTCTTGCTATCCTTGTCTTGATTAGATGCTCATCTTGTACCTTGTACTCAAGACCTTCTCTGAAGAACTGTAGCATTTTGGGAATATCATGGCCCAGGGAATCTAATTTAAAAAAAAAAAAAAGACAACAAAGAAGTTAATACTTACTAGGAGGACAGAACATACTATTAGAAAAGGGAGAATTCAGTGTTTCACCTTGAAGCAACTAAGCACCAAACAAAAATGCTGTTTCCATGTTTTCTATTTAAATCTCCTTCCATATTCCCTCCTCCTTCATTATCAGCAGATCTTCACAGATGATATAAGTAAAATAACTAAATATGTAACTCAGATCTCACTTCAAATAAAAAAAACTTGTGAAAAGCATACACACATAGTCTTTGTTACCTAGTATAATTATTTGGAAGACTGAGATCTACTAAGTTAAACTCAAAACCATCTCCAAGCATCTGCCTTGGAAACAAACAGTACACAACTGTGTAATAGCAAGATTACACTCTACCTGCAACACTCCGGCCCAGTGCAGCCATTGCACAAGTAAAGACAGCTGGTTTTGTTATCTCAGCTGCAGGAGCTTATTTGACAGATTTACAACATCACTCAATCGCTTCAACTGCAAGTATTATTTCTCCCACATGCCTTTGGATGGCTCCAAGATAAATCAGCCATCAGGAACAAACAAACTAAGCAAGTTTGTAATGAAATAACACAGCTTTCATTTTTACAGAAACATCTGGAGTATTCTGTTGTAATACTTTGGACAGGCTAATACATTTGCTGCAAACATTCAGGAGGCTAAGACCACTGCCTGCAGCTTGTGAAAACATTGTTAGGACAGCTGGGAGAAGGTAAGTGAGAATCTGAGTCAAGATACACTGCTTTAAGAAGCTGACACATCTGTGTAACAAACAGAGCTCTAAAACGCATCTAAAATGAGTAAGGGAGATAAAATATTGAGACTGATATTTGATGCTTAGAGAATCTGACCTGAATAGAAAGTTTCTCGTGCATAAAAAGAGGGAATGACATGCAGATAAGTGAACAAGTTACAATAACAAGAAGCATGAAGAACATTGTTATTCAGAAGCACTAACACAATGAGCAGTGATGAAGATGGGATCCAACAACTGATAAACAACATCACTACCTCAGTGAACACGGTTAACAAGCTGCTTCTATTCTCTTAAGTTTGCCACACAAAGTTCCCAGTACTATTACAGCTGATCATATACAGAATGACACGGACAACTAGCTGACAAACTAGCATCAACTGTAATCCCAACATTTGTGTTGTAGGAGAAAGGGGGAAAGGCACAGCACTAGCTTCCTAAAGCAACTCTCATAAGACAGAACATGTGGCTCAGTCACAGCAGCAAAATACTTAATGCAATTCCATGCCCTCAACAAAAAAGGTCACTTCAAGAGTTAAATCTTGCTCCAGTACTTAGGTTTATAAAATAGATTTGCTTCTTACTTCTTTTTGTGCTGGGGTATTTTTGTTTTAGCTTGCTCCTTAATGGTATCAGTTTAGGCATTATTGCAGGAACAGCTATGTAGAAATCCACTTGAATTTCTTCTTCCAAAATCTACATTAAGACAAATGCAAATATATTTAGGAATACAATTAATTACCCAAGTACACAAGTTCAATCTACCAATGTGCCAGAACATACAAAGCAGTATTTCACTGTTCATATTGGCTGCTAACTTCCAGCTAGATCTCTGGACATGAAGTTTCCCCATCAGTCACTACAGCAAATTAAAACATTTCATTTACTTAATTAAAAATAAATACCCATTTGATTAATTCAATGCCTCCTACAACAGCAGCTCCATTCTCTCGAGCTATTTCAGCTTCTTGCTCATTCTGTTGGAAGGAAAAAAAAAAAAGTGTATTAACATCAGTACAACTGATTGCTCTGTATCAACAGCAAAGGAATGTCTTAAAACTAATCAAAGACCCAAAATATCCCACACTGGAAATTTAACACTAGAGCAGCAACTCTAGCTTACTCCACTCAATTCCAGTCCCAGTAAGAAGCAACAGGCAAGTCTTCAGTTCTCTTCTGGTGAAGCATGAGAAAGAGTCATCCCACTTGGAAAAAGCTCCATCACAAGCCCTTTCTCTCCTATCACCATCTTCTGAAAGTCACAGACAACCACCCACTACATGGAGACAACATTTACTAAATACTACAAGAAGAGCATGGAGAATGCTGCTTAAAACCACTACAAAATAAGGCTATTTATCTCTGCTATTAATATTTTGCTTCAAATAGCATTTAGAATGTAACTTCATTTTTCTTCCATGAGATTTAGCTGTTAAAATACTCTGAAATATTGAACAGTAGCAGGAAACAGTTTTTGGCTCAAGCTTTCGGAAAAGGTAAATATTCCTGACCAGAAGTCAAGACAAGGTTTCCCTCACAAGAAAGAGCTGACTAGCTTCACCCTTACACATGAAAGTGGTGGCATGTGACTGGAGTCCCTCAATCTTCTTCCACATTCACATCTTTGGAAGACATGGGGTCTCCTATCCTGACTGAATTTAAGGTTGAGAGAAGGTTTCAAGACACTGCAACACAGAACCTAGCATACTTGTCAGGCCTCCACAGTAGGAGGATTCTCACCTTGAAGTTTATGTAGAAAATCTATCGTAAGTGAGTTCAAAGGGTCATAAATTCAGTTGAAGGCACTTCTCCAGGATAATCTCATAGTGATTATACATAACCATTCTGTTAGAAAAATTAACAGGCAAAGGACGACATCAGAGAGCCTGCACTAGCCTCATTCAGATAGGACAGTGACTGCACACACCATATCACACTAGTCAACTCCTACAACAGAGGATGAAGGATTTGTGGGGAAGGTTGTTGTGTTAATTTCATTGGTTGCTTGCTTTGGATTGTTTGGGCTTGGTTTTTTGGGTTTTTTTTTTTTTTTTTGAGAAGTTACTCCCTACTGCTATCACACAACTGCATTCTGTTCCAGTACAAGCTATGGTGAATAACAAACACTTGTAGTCTCCACTGTCTACTAAAGCTTAAGACAGTAAGGATGGAAATGACTGCTGCACCAAACTGTCCATCTTTATTACAGGATAGTCAAAGTTTTCAACCCTATAGAAGATTTTAATATCCCTCTCCCTTAGTTACACCTGTGCAGATGTTTTCTCTGAGTGCATTGCTAGAATAAACCACATGTGTAAAGATAATATAACACAGAAAATTCAAGATGCACATTAACGTATTAAGACATTGTTGAAGATGTATCCCTGACAAGCTTGTGTGTTCCATAAAGCATTTGAAGAGTCTTCTCAAAGCCAAGTACCATACATACAACACAACTAGTTCCTACACAAGAGCGTGCTGGGTTCATGACACATAAATAAGTAATTCAGACTTACTGACCTCCGTGAAAACCAAGACCTTATTTGTCTCATCTGTAAAGCGGTATGGAAGAAGAACAATGCTTGCAAACTGATCCACTTTTTTCTACAAAGAGAAAAAGAAAAACTGAAACAAATCACAACCAAACAGCGAGTCTTATTAGGTAACTTAGTCCCACACGAATGCAGCCACCTGACAAAAACATGAGCACTTAGCCTATACTTACATGTAGTAAACAATCTAATAAAAAAACACATGACGCACAGATTGTGACGGCTTTTGTACACCTGCTGTAGAATACAATCAAAACTTCACCAACTTAAAATGAATGAATTATTCATGCTGCTGTTTGCTCAAGAGAAAGGAGCTGGGGTCACCGGCTCCCATGTGTAGGGCTGCTACACTCAGGTGGCATCAGTAACAATCACTGAGATGCTGTAGTCACAGCTTATCAGAATTATGTTACCAATTTAGTAGACAGTGCAAAACAATCACAAGAAATGCGTCCCTTGCTAAGGCATAGGCATACCACACAGCTCCTCAAAACAGTTGCAAGAGGTCTGTATTGCTTTAAGTGTGAACTTACCTAGCTCTAAGAGCCCCCGGTATGCTGAAGAAGATATTTCGTTAGACCCAGAAGGAAATAAACTTTTAAGAAGCCAAGCTTTTTAACTATGGAGGAAGCAGAATGTCTTAGAGTAAGGCTCAACTGGTCTAGACACCTTTGAACTGACAAAAGGGATGACCCTTAGCAGGGTTACAAGAACACTGCACCAAGACAACACTCAGGCCAGAGTCCTAATAACCTCTTAAGCAGATGAGAAGGCAATAAACATCACACTGAAAAAAAACTATCTATGCTTTTTCTTCATTTCTTCATCTGCATCTTTTGAAGACTTGTAAGGACACCACCCACTACCAGAGTGGAGAAGGCTCACACTGACATACTCACTTAACATGACCATGTTGTTAACCCAACTGAGGAAATCAAATGGCAGCATGGCACTCCACTAAAAACAATAGGCTTACAACAACTTCACAGGAGTCCTAGCTCTCATGCACTTCAAAGTAACATAGGGAGTCCTTCTGCTCTGGATCCAAATTCAGTTTGTCATACTTTGGGAGCTGGCATCATCTGTGGTCACGCAACATGAAGCCTTTTTCCAGTAATTGCTGAGGGATATCAGCAGCTCTACAAGAATGTAACAGGGCTTGTGGATGAACTCCAAGGGTTCCAAGGAAATAAACAATGAAATAAGGTTTTTTAAATAAATAAAATAGATGCTTCTGTTTCACATAGAAGCGCCCTCACTCCAACAGTGCCAATAAAAATATCAACCAACATGGAATAACACTCTCACAGAACATGACAAAAAAAAGAAATTAAAACAGTGGGAAGCAGAGATGAGAAGAAGCCAGACTAAGACCTTGCCCTATAACAATCATTCCAAAACAAAACATGCATCTGAAGTAATAACCTATGTGGAAAGGTCAAGTAGGTGTGAGCCTTAATTTAACCAGTTCTGTCTGTACCTGAATTTCAGATACATAATAGCACATCTTCGTAATTCCTGAAGATGCTCATCTTCACCCCAAGTACTTAAACTATATTAAATAAGCATACACAGAATAAAAGAATAAAGCCACCTGCAAACACAAACAGCATTCCAACACTCAGCCAGAGCATCTGCAAGAGGCAGATGAGAAGACCACTAGTAACGTTTACTCTAAACTTAAAACACAGCTATTCACATTATAAAAAGATAATGTAAGAATTACCAGCCACTTCCCACTTACCTTCTTCTGCAGTTCCATATCTAGGGTCACATTAATATACACAAACTGTTTTGGGTATGTGAAGTCCAGTTCCTGAAATTTCTTTAACATACCCACAGCTTCTTCTACATGGTAGGACGGTCGCTCGTAGTACCACGTCAAGTACACATCATCCACAGGCTTGCTCAGCAACAGCCGCCTGCCACGTCCTTTTTTCTTCTGGGCTTCTTCCTTCTTGGCCTTTTGCGAGCCTCTTTTTGTATTTCTGAAGCATGCAATGCAAAAAACAAACAATAAAAACCCAACCACCACCAACCACAGAGCGTTACGTATTTTAGGAGAAAGAAATAGATACTGTTAAGTATCAGTTAATCCGCAAAGAGTTACAAAGGTAGGTTCTACACATAACAAGCAGCGTCCCTAAATTCATTCTAATTACTTGCCTCTAATGGCCAAGCCAAAAAACAAACTTCCAATGCAGTTAACAAACGAGCCCCAATCCTTATATAATCCTGCCTGACTTATTAGGCTCTCAAATCATCGAGAAAAATACTTCAGGCAGAGAAAGACACTATTTCTCTAACAATAAGAATGCAAAAGGTGAGAAATTAACTGCTCTTCAGAGCTCTCAGTATATTGTGCACTCCACTGTTCTGTACATTGAGCTAATTTTTTCCCCTTTTCTACTCAGGCGGTAGTATCAGACTTAAAGAAACATCAAACTAAAAAACGTCAGAATCTGAAGGACGAGATGTGAGAGGAGCAGCTGAGGCACCTCGGTTCGCTCAGCTCAGACAAAAGGAGGCCAAGGGATGCCTCGCGGTGGCCTCCAGCTCCTCGCAGGTAGCGGAGGGCAGCGCCTACAGCCCCCAGCACGCACTCACTTGGCGGCGGCGGCGGCGTAGAGGCGGGCAGGCGGCGCGGCGCACAGCGGAGCGGCGGCGGGACACTGCTGGAGCCCGGGCAAGGCCCACCGGCGGCACGGGGTCAGCACTGCGGAGAAAAGCACGCACGGCTTCAGACGGGCGCCCGGCCCCGCGGGTAGCCCTCCCGCCTCCCTTCCCCGCTCCTCCCGGCCCCGATGCCCGCGGCCGAGCGCCTTCACCTCGCCGCAGTAACAAGCCCACGGACGCCGCCATCTTGCGCAGCCGCCGCGGTGCAACGCAAAAGACGTCCGCCGGACGCTGCGCCTGCCGAGCCCCGGCTGAAAGCCGCTGCGCGCACCTGGGGGCCGCGGTGCTGCTGCTTGACGTTTATATTTCCTGCTCCGTTCCTAAATACGGCAGGAGCCTCTTGGACTACAATTGTTATTTTTAAATTGGTGTAGGATTCTTTTTTATGGGCATTAAGCAACTATGTATATACTAAAGCTGTGGCAAATATAATGCAAGACCTACTACGAGTGCTTCACGTGTGCCTATGAAGGGCTAACAACCTGCATCCTCCATCCTGTTCCTCAAAAACTTCTGAACCCACTCTGAGCTCCCCATTTGTCAGCATGTCGCTGCTTCAGACCATGCATTTTGGCCCTATGCGGGATGCGCTGGCTCAGAGATCAGTTGTTAATAATCCTGTATTACAGCACAGCGAGGAATCAAGATGTAACAAATGTATTCTGCAGAGGAAGCAGGGCTTTGGGGAGGCTGCAATGTACCATACAAGTGCCTAGCGAGGCCCCAGGGATGCAGGTCTTGCCAGCAGTGACCCCAGGCAGGCCACTCGCAGAACCTGGATTCTCAGTTACGCTACCTTTTGAGAAGGGAGGGAAACAATACCTGAGGGGAGGGTGGCGAGGCCATGGCCTGTAATGGGAGCTGGGAGATGTACAGAATGATTAACCTTGGCAACGGGAGAAGGGAGGGCACAATCCTCCTTCACTGATCCATTTGGTGGTGGTTTTTTTTTTTTTTTTCTGGAGAGGAAATGACCAGAACAGATAAAGACACTCTCCTATCAAAGAAGTCAGTGCCAATGCCTTTCCAAGGCAGCACGTGACTTTTCTCCTACAAAAATACATCCCAGTAAAGATTTTTTTCTTTCTTTTTCTCTCACTCTGCCCTCCTCTGTGCATGTGTGCACCCACTCCCAACCACTCATTTACACTGGAGATCATTAGCTGTCTGAACTCTTTGCTCTACCATGGAGGCTCCTTCTGTGCTCCTCACTCTCTGAGCACATATGAGCATCTCTGGTCCCACAGGTGAATGCATCACAACCAGCACTTTTCTCTGCCCTTGCTTTTTTTTTTTTTTTTTTTTTTTTTTTAATTTTCCCCTTTTATAATACACTTTCTCTACACCCACATATTTTCTTTTAGAACTTAGGAACGGTTCCCCGCAAGGAAGGCCATCTCCACCTCTGGCAGGCCCAGCTGGAGAACACCTCGCTCCGATGCCGGCACACCATTTACGTGCCCCGTCCGCCCTCTGGCACGGGTCTGCAGAGAGACGGCGCGGGTTTCGCAGCAGGGGGACACCTCCCGCGGAGAAAGAGCCGATGGCAGACAAGACCTACGCCCCCACAGGCTCACGCTCAGCGCGGGGCCCCGTCACCCCGACACCTGAGTCACTTCCTCAGGCCGCCTGCGACCGCCGGAGGCCTTTCGCGGGGCGACCTGCTCCTCACGTACACCCTGTCAGACGCCTCTCTCTGTAATTAACGGCAATTAGCCACGGAGGGCTCTTTTCCCTCCCTAGGATCGGGGCCCCACTGGCGTCCCCAGGAGCCGCCGCCGCCCCGCAGGGCCCGCCGGGGGCTCCCCGCCACCGCCCCGGGGTCTCGGCGCCGCCCCGGGGTCCCTGCGCCGCCCGCCCCGCTCCTGTCGCCTCCTCCTCCCGTCCCCACCTCCCGCTCCCCCGCCCTCCGCGCCGCCCGAGCCCCGGCCCGCTCCTCCCCGCCGCCGCCGCCGCCGCCGCCGCCGCCGCCCCGTTCCCCGTCCCCGGCGGGCCGCCGCCTGCATGTCGTTGCTGCCCGCCGCCCCGCCGCC